CATGGTTCATGCTTATTTTGTATCTCTCATTTGCTCTCTTTTACGTTAGCCGGAATCTTTGACACCATGCCTCAAATAAGACATTTTTTTTTCATTTTTCTTTCATTTTCCTTTTCGGAACCCCTTCGCTAGTTTAAATGTCCATTGTAATGTATTGTATTGTCAAGGTAGCGACTACGACAAAAAGTAGGTTTGATGTATCTTGTGGGGATTTTATCAACTGAAATCTCAAATAAATTGAAAAATTAGATAAAGCAACTGTGAATGTAATGACTGATCCCCTTTTGGTTACGTTCGTTCGTAAATGTCGGTGTTTTTCTAGAATTCCCTTTATTGAACTGACGAAAGTAAAATATTTTTTTTATTTAGTGTGAAATGTTCATTCCTTACATGCCTAACAAACCTATACCCAAGGGAAAATTTGTGCTATCCATCCCTCTGAAATTTCTTCTCAAGTGTATCAAAAACCAATTTTAATTTGCCGTAAAATGCTTATCCTTTAGTAAAATTGTGACGTCACCAGGATTATATCTCATTTTGACAGTATTGTCTTACTACAAATACTATAATACGACTTAGAGAATTATTTCTTTCCAAGGCATGTATTATCTATGAAAGGGGAGTGCCAGGTATTCCAACCTTCAGAAATAATAATTTATTTCAGTATAATAAAAAGCTCATTCACTGGTTGTGAGTAGAATAGCTCTTTCATCAAATCCTTAAGGAGAAACATTCCCCTCGGGATTCCCTCTGGGAATAGTCCCTGTCGCATGTTTGAGAAACGAGCATTCCATATCAAACCCAATGGGTAAATAATTCCTATTTGGCTTTAGCAAGCAGCTCCGTAGTATTTTTAAGGTCACTCAATGAAGACGCATTCAAAAGAAAATACATGATTCTAAAATTAAAACAATCTTAGATTTGTCCGACTCTACAAATATAAAACTTATACACATACTACTTGGAATATGCATTTTAAAAGAACTAAACAATATACTTCCTCTTAGATGGATTAAATTCAATATGGCCCTTCAATTTTTTTTTATTATTCTAATAACCCTATATTTTTTTTAGATTTCCGGTTTGATAATATACTTATATACCATATAGGAATAACTAATGACTGACAAAAAAGACAGTGGAAAACAAAAATCTCCATTATAATGCCACATGGACTTTGAAGAAACATTCTCTTTAGAGTTCAATGAGGCGCAATGTTGATATTAAAGTTTCTAAGTGACCCTTAAAAATATTAAAGAAAGGACATTTTATTTTAGTCTTATGCAAGACAGAAAACGTAAAGAAAAAGATGAATATAATTTTCTGATGTACCTTTTGGGTTTAAAGGATGTTCTATTGTTGAACAAGGAATGCGAAAGATTTTTTGAAGGCATTGACGTGTTATTTGATGTAATGAGCAATGACGTCAACGGTAAACTTGATGATGATGATAACGTTGATGTAGCTGTTAATTGCTTAGCAAAGCCAGAACATTCTGCATCTGAAGAGAAAGAAACTCGCATTAATCAAGCATATTCTTTATGGTATTTTATACAACAAACATCAGAATGCTCAGTCGAATTTAAGGCTTTCAGTTTTGTGAAGGGTTGATGATGCAGCTGCATTTTAGCATACTTGAAAAAAATAAATTGAAGGAGTTAAGAGTACCATTCCCTTTAAGCATTTAGTCACGGAAAGAAAATGAGTACCAACACTCTCTGGTATATATTTAATTAGAGTACTTGCAATTGTACGATTCTTCCGAGGGATAAGAGTTAGGACAAGGTTGTTTAAATTGACTGCAGTCAAACAGAAAGCTGCTTCTAATGCTTTTGTATCCTTCATCATAATAAGCACACTTTCCTCCTGAAAAACAAAAATCCCTTCCTTGATAAAACAGCCCTTAAATATTTTCTTGTTGACATTTTTTTTCCCCAAAATTATGTTGCATTCTATGTAATATGTTATAACAAAAACCTTTTTACATAGTACGTAATACTTTCACTTAAGTATATTTTTGTATGTTAATGAACAAACAGCTTTGTCATCAATATATTTTAATGAAATTTCAATAGAAAATTTACATGATAGAATTTTTACCGATTATTTTTATCGGAGATGCACACACCTCCAACATTGACGTCCTTTGGCTGTTTAAAACACAGTGGTATTTAAAACCTTTGCAATCGTTTATTATAAGGTGACATTGCTTTTTAGCTGCTCTTTGTTCCCATTCTAGTTTTGTTGCAGGACATCTATTCACGAGTTTTTGGGTTTGAGCGGAGATATCGCAAGGTAGTGAAAAGCTGGTTACAAATCCTCTCTGAAATTTTTTGAACACTTTTCAGTATCTGACATATATATATATCTTCTAAAGCTATGTTTAATGCGCAGAAAAATTACAACTGTGACAATGAAATGAAGGCATACAATTTATTAAGCTTGAGAGAAAAACTGTTACAAGTTTCTTGGAGTGGATTAAGCAACTGTCCAAAATCAGTGCAACTGACAAACAGCCGCCATGGAAAATGATTAATTTTATACTGTTTTATGTCCAATTCGAGAATTTTTTGTTCATGTATAAACATCACCGTATGCTACTAAAGGGCTTCAAATTTAGACCTAAATCAGTACTTAGGGGTATTGAACAGTTACATGTAGTGTTCTCTATATATAGCTATCGTGCCAACGCCTACCGTGACACGGGACATACGTGTACGTTTTTAACGTTATATCAGAAGGACTTGTGACTTTCAGTTCTAGTGCCAAATGCTTGGCTATCTATGTTTACGTCTTAGGTTTGACGCGGCGCGGCGGCGAAAGGGAATCGAACCCAGGCCTCCCGATCACGAAGCGAACGCTCTACCACACGGCTAATGTGACCGGTCCAAGGAATACGAGCATTGCGAATAAGAAAATAGTTCCACATTAAAAATACTTTTAAGAAATAATATTTTTGACAATAGACCACAATTGCTCTTTGGTCAACATTGCTCTGTCATTCTTATCCATTCATAAGCATTTTTTTTATTTTAATGATAATGCCGATTCTGCATGTATTCTAATTCTAAGACACGACACCCCCACCCCCCACCCCCAAAAAAAGGCGTCATCAGTGTGATGAGAAAAGATGAAGATATTTTGCTGATTGTTGAACAACCAATAAACGCTTATTGCTGCAATTAATTTAGACAATAAAACAATGTGACTTATGATCAGATGTACTGTTTGATTTAACCGAAATTGTACAGTTCCTAACAAAAAATATTATAGTTAACTATAGTGTCAAAGTGATCACTGTGGTAAATCAAAGTTTTCAAAGTTATTACTATATAGTAAATCAGTCTTTCCATTATTAATCAAATTTTCCATAGTGATCACCATTGTAAATCAAAGTTTTCATAGATATCACTATAGTAAATCAAACTGTCAAAATGTTCATTATAGTAAATCTAGGTCTTCGTAGTGTCAGCAATCGTAATATTTAACTGTAAATAACCATAGCAAACGAATGTTAACTATAGTATTTAGGATGTTTTTATACAGATAGCAAAACGTCTAGCTGTTGTGTTCATGAAAACTAATATGTGTGCACCTGACTCAGGCTGACTAAATATTACAGCGGGCATTGCTCTTGGGTATCCAATATGTGTAAAACCTTACATAAGATCTCCAAACTGTAGCAGAAGTTGTCTAATGCATTGATTAATATACATGCAACATTAATTTTTGTGTCAGGTTGTGTTGATTTTTATATGCTTAATTGTTCAAGCTTTGCTTATTTTTGTCTTTTAGGAAAGTTGAACATGTGCATTGGTGCAGTGAATGATTCATTAATTAGCTTGATAAGTTGACTTTTAAAAGAGCAATGTTAAGAGTGGATCCCTATTATTGCAAATTGTTGGCACGTTGAGTATTTTAAGGACGTGGATGTGTGTTGATGTATCTAATTTTCCTTTAACACAAAGCTGTGTAATATATTTATTTAAAATTGTGGTTTAAATAACATTTTGCTGCATTTTTAATTAGTCAATCAGTCTCAAAATTTTAAAATGATAAACTTTAAAAATGAATTGTGCCAGGAAAGATGACATAATTCGTGATAAACAAACGAGTCTTTTTTTTATATAAATACACCAGTTTCACCAGTTATCAACATAAGAATGGAAATCACCTATCTTATTGTATGCTCATGACATTTCGGTGTTTCCGAGCAATATATTAAAGAAGATAATAGAAAATAGCATGCCTGGTGAAACTTTTGACACGTTATACTCCTATTTCATCTGTGACCAACTTTTTGTTTCAATTTAATACTTGTGTTTAAATCTGCAACTAATTTTGTTGTACTATTTGTATTCGAATCGGATAGAATACCCCATGCTTACACTTAGATATTATACATGTATTATGTATGATATTTTGCTTGTATGGGCTTGAATATTTATGTCAGTTCTTTCCTATCTATTTTATAAGATGGAAGATGGTTATTGTGAATCCAAATATATATTTGAAAAACAAATCTTCCTGGTATAGCTCCATGAATTTAATATTAGTTAAATTTTAGCATCTCAAGGAATGCTGTTCACATTATTCATGAGTAGATGGGGACGATGTAATCGTTTTATAACATTTCCATCATGTTCTGTCAACAATTAATTTCCATATAAGTATTTATGTGTGCCCGAAACATTCCTAATACATGTACGAGCGTTCAATATAGAACGCCCTGTTGTGAACAAAAAGATCTTCTGGTCAAATTCTCAGATTTAATTAATGAAATGAAGTGGAATTAAGTAAGATGTGTCTATTCTTAGACAAAAGTGAAATTATATATCGAAGATTTACATGTAGTATGTATTAGACTCATTAAAACCTAAATAAGCAAATCATAACGCTCGGTAGGGTCATGGGAATTATGCGATATTGAACACTTACAGGACAGGCGTTAATTTGAATACCAATACCAAAATAAATCATTATAGTGAGGTTATTTTTAGTTGACTTTTATTCTAAAATATGAGGAAATGTCTTAGATATATGATAAAGGAGGTATTGAACTTATATTGGTAAATATTGGCACTCGTTAGCTGTACAAATGCACTCGCAAGCAACTGGTGCCAATATTCACCAATATAAGTTCAATAAACCTACATTATAATGTGTTTTTTTTCTCAAATTATTGAGAGCAGCATACCCTTAAAGTTAGATTAACTGGAGTAACAGATTATATTTACCATCCTTGTATGGAAAATTTGAAAAATTGTTAAATTATTTTAAGGACAAATGATACAAACAAACTTTTGTCAAAGAATTCGAAAATAACAACTTGGGTCCTGTTCAAATGAATAAAATTAATAACTTTCACCGCAAAGTTTTTATATATTTTTATCCAAATTTGCACAAAAATCGAATTTAAAGTGATAAAATATTTGTATAGATTAATAATGATGGCTTCAGAACTTTTGAACATCACAGAATGTTTACAAGTTCTTTACATGTATATTCTAGAAATTTATTATTTGTAACATTTGCAATGAAATTAGGGTAAAAAATATATACCAATCCAGGCATCCATTTTTTGTTTGTATCATCTGTCCTTAAGGACATTTTTTGACAAATTGCAAGCGTCCAAGATGAAATTTAAATTAAATTAAAAAATCAATTTCATACAACATGATTGTAAAGATCTAGATAAGATTGACGCAAAAAGGTAAACTGGATACTTACGATTACAATATTCATGATTAAAACATATTTTGAAATTGTAAATAAAATAATATATCTACTTTGCCTGCGAAAATAACTTGCTGTTGATTCTGAATTGTGAAAAATATAGAACTTTTAGCTGTTTATGAACAAGCAAGACAAGAAATATAAAATACTAATGCATACAATGTGACATTACAACGTTTCTCTGAATATTATTAGGTACATGTGATTTATTAACTCTGTGGCATCCTTTGTACTTTGGAAATTGTAGAATTAATCTACTGTCTTTGCATAAGGGTAAACAGTAGTACTATTTCATTTATCAACATAACTTAGATATACAGTTTGATACTTTATTCTAAAAATGTGCTGTAGATTATTTAGTATACAAATTTCTTTCCTGTGTTCTTTGCAATTGTATTTATTAATTTGGAAATACAGATTCATTCTATGCATATGTAATTTGAAAAGTGTATAAGTTTACAAATAGTTTAATTAATCAATTCCCATCAGCACTTTCAGTATAAACAGTTTATTAGCGTGAAGTTTCTTAGAAAATCAGATAAATAGATTAATTTGAGTAAGATTATTGTTGCCCAATATCACTGAATATAAAGGGTTTATTTAAAGCAATATGTGTCTATTAGCAATAGGATTAATTGACCCAGATCATTTTTTTTTTCATCATTGCAATTGATATTTAAAAAACGAAATGGGTACAAATGTAAGTCATTTAAATGTCTTTAGGGATAAGCTGATCTTTTGGAGCGTATGATAAACATAGTATATTAGCATGTATGTAGTTTTTGAAGGAAAATGTATTTCAAAGCAAGCAAAGATTTTATTTAAAACAAGATGTGCTTGTGAAACACTGATGCCTCCTTATGCAAACATAGCGAAGATTATAATTTTTTTTAATGGATTTAATATATTGGTACCAAAAGTAGGGTATTCTAGCTGAAAAAAATTGTGAAATATGAAAGTACTAGTAGGCCACAAAAATAGATATGTGAAATATGCAAGCCCTAAAGATATGGCCAAGATTAAACATTTTAAAAAGTAGGTCAGACTCGAAGATCAAGATCAAATGGTCAAAGGTCTTAATATCAAATGGAAATTCTTGTCAAAAGGATTGAAAATGTTAAGTATGAAAGCAATAGCCCTTACCCTTTCAAAGTAATAGTCAAGGTTTGCTTTTTAAATGTGGGTAAACTTCGAGGTCAAGGTCAAAGTGTAAAATTTGGTATCTAATGAAGGGTCTTCTCACTAGGATTACATATGTGAAATATGAAAGCCATATCCCTTAGCGTTCAAAAGTTATGGCCATGGTTAAAGTTTTTTCATAAGTACGGAAACCTCCTAGTTCAAGGTCAAAAGGTCAAGGTTGTTGGTATCCAACAAAAAGGTCTTTCTACCAAATATAATATTTGATAAGTATTAATGTCCTGATATCTTCCGTTCAAAAGATATGGCCAAAGTAAAAGTATTGATTTTTTGTGTAAAAGTGGGTCAAATTCCAAGGTCAAAAGGTCTAATTCGGTGGTACCCAAAGAAAGGTCTTGTCACAAGTCATAGATATGTGAAAAAAGAAAGTCATAGCTCTACTTAATCAAAACTCATGGGCAAGGTGAAAGTTTTTGCGGCCAAACGGACAGCTAGACAGACAGATGGGTTGACATGTCGACAAAAACTATATACCCCCGAAGCTTCGTTTACGGGGGCATAAAAATGCTATAAATATATTGATGGCTATTATTACATTTTGTATACAACAAGGGTTCATTACATTAAGAATTTTAGCAAGAGGAAATTGGAATTAATGTTCACACTTTTCTTCCAATTCTGCAAACAGCCTTAAGCTTTAAACTCGCTAAATGTGTCTTACCATGCCGATTGTGTCGAGCTCTATATCAAAAACCAAGAGTTAAGAGTAACATTTCAAATAAGTACCTTTGAACTTTAATGTTCTAATGAGTCACTTCATATTTCTAAACTTGAAGCCGGTTACAAGAAAAGAACCAAAAACCTTTTTTTTCTAATTATTTATTACGTTCGACCCCCATTTTATGAGTGGATGCTTTTACTGTTTTCTTTTTTACTTTATTTGACTACTAAATATACTAATGAGCATAAAAAAAATAATCTTCTTGATGTGATTTTTTTTTTATCTTGGTATGAATAAATTGTACATCGGATTTTCTAAAGTGAAAGAAAAAACTTACCCAAGGAATAAGGAGTGCTGAACAAATACCTTGTATTAACAGAGCATTCTGAAATGGAGGAAAACTTCATAAAGATTATCATTTGGTTGTTAGACTCATATACACATAAATATACACTATACACATAAATATTTTGTAATCTTCCAATGGAGTTCAGATATGTTCCTGAGAATTTCAAATACATGTTCAAATTTACATATCTATTTGCACAAACACAATCACAATAAACAGCAAACGACCATCATATTAGGATCATCAATTTGCCATACATAAAGTCCATATAGTCTTTTGAAATATCATTATAATAGGGGAGATATTGATCACGTATTTCTATACTGTTTATAAATAAAAAAAAATGTTTACTTTAGATCCTATTTTATGACCCAATTCCAATGAAAAAAGATAACTGATTTTTTTTTTCTTGAAAAAAAAAGGGTTTACCTCTTTACTTGAAGAGGTATATAAACCCTTCTCTAATCTACAGATCAGATAAACACACGTTATTGTCTAATATGTATCCTAATGAAATGGTAATTAAAAAAGATTGACAATCTGTAACGTCCGAACCCTTGCTTTTTTTTTACTTTTGGACCTATAGATCCAACACGTTTACTTTTGTAAATCTGTAAGCATTTTTTTTTTAAATCTCATTTTCAATATGTTTTGAGAGGTTGAGGACAAATTTTACAAATACGTAAAGCCAATTACATTTGTCTTGATAAACTGCAACCCATTTAATTTCTTAGCTGTTTAAATAATATATATATTTTTTCAAATATATTGAATAACTTCAAATTTTGGAATGAATGAACACTGACAAGAAAAGAATAGTTTTACTTTCGGTTTAAGATTCGGGTTACTTGTACTTTAAATTCTACTTGTTATCATAATATCAATAAACATTTAAATCCTAGGTATTATCTTAAATCTTTTGAACTCTGACGTTTTAAAAATCCTAGCATGTACATACTAAATAAAACATGTCCTGGCACGTTTCCAAACAGGAAATAAGTGGACCTTTTTATGGATTTTCCATAATCTCGTTTTTTTTCTAATTTCGAACTTTTAAGTAACAGCCGTATTTCCGGAAAAATAAATAAAACAACAGAACACAAGGAATTGTAGAGGGAATGCAAAAGCTACGATATCCCCCCCCCCCCCCAATATATTCTTGTATAAAATTTGAAATTAAAATGATAACTTACGTGCAAACAAGCGATGTCCAAAGAAATTGGTGATAACAAACTCCTTATTCATGCAGGTAGGATATTGACACAAAACCAGATAAACAAAATAAAGATATGGATTCATTGACACTCTATGTTCAGATTTAATTTTAAATGTACAAAAGATGGTATTTTGAAATAAAGCAATAAAAAGCATATATATACTTTTTCTTTTCTTTTTTTTATATATATACTTTTTTTAAATTTTGTCTTAAAGCAAAAAAAAAAATTCTTGAATTAAGGACTAAAATAAACATACACTGATTTGAATCTCTTCTCAACATATATTGCCAGGGCATCAACAATAGTGGGAAATAGGAAAACTTTGCATAAAGCTTAAATTATCCCACGTTTCCCACTATCGTTGATGTCCTCGGCATATTAAACTAATTAGACAGTGAATCCCTATATTTCCATTTCATTGTGAAATAAAGTTGTAGATTTAGACTTTATAAATGTAGATTCATAGATTGAAATTACACGAGGACTCCAATGCCATTTTCAATAGACTTTGCCCACTGACGTCATACACAGAGGCAGTCGCACGAGATCTAGATTTACTTGCATATTTGGCCTCCTTAGCGTCAGTTACAGACAAATATGCACGAGAATTGCATGCATATTAGGCCTTCTTAGCTGCTGACCTATTGACCTGCCTAATTTACACATAGGTAGAATAATCACAAAATCGACCCCGCTTACTTTCAAATAGATATCACAGAGAAATGAAAATATATGCATGTAAATCCCGTGCGGATAACTTTGTGTTTGACGTCGCGGTCAGTAGACGAAAACTATTGAAATTTACATGGGAGGCCCGGCTATATTTAAATCTAATAGTCATCATTTTTAATTTCTTAATCTAGAATTTCATTAAATAATTCAGTGGAAATAGAAGGAATGAGTGTTTAGTTAGTAAAGCATGTCAGGGTATTACCGATAGCAGAAAACATGGGGTACTTAATGCATAAAACCCGGTATGCAAATAATACTACGTTTTCCACTATAGTTGATGTCCTGACATGCTACACTAACTAGGCATTGATTACTTAATTAACAAGAGAAAAATCAAATGATTTTTATTTGGATGTATTTGTCAAGTGTCGGTCATGATCTGTTGAGTCAGATAGAATGAAAAACACCTCTAATCATGTTGACTTGTTTAACTAAACTGATTATTCAAACTTTGCAGAACATTAACGTTGCCATGACGCCATAATTAAGATGACGTCATAATAGGAATACTCACTGAATGGCACCTGCACTTGAAGGTCAAGATCTAGTAAATGTCTAACTTTTTGGTGCTAGATCCATTATGACATCATAATTACTTTCAAACTTTCTTTTTCCCGTACTTTACGGCTCTAACAGAATTATGTAGAAACTAAAGTATTTTCAGGGAATTCAATTTGAAATTACATGAAAAGTAGTCCCGATACATATATTAAGATTGACATTATTCTATAGAAGAGGTCAAGAACATACAAATTACCGTTTTCTGAGAGACTGTAGGTTATCTGGATACATTTTCTTTGTCTGATATGGAAAAAAACTCCCATATTCATGACTGGGTTTCTTAATTTTTCATTGGAAATGATGTTTTAAAATATGATTTTTCATCTTGTTTACCTATATATTATGCCCCGAAACACACTATATGACCAAGCTAAACTTATAAAGCATCATTAAAGGAATTTATTTCTCAAATTTGAGAAATCGGTAGGCACCTTTCATTTACTAGATCTTTCATTTACTAGATCTTGACCTTAACGTCACATATAGGAAGATTTTCATCAACATGACCATTAGAAGTTATACATGTATCAGAGCTGTCTAACTTAACTGCAAAATTTGTGAGAACAACAATGAGAGCATGAAATGATACCCTCGCTCTAATACGTTTATAATTTTTTTTACGATAAAGTCCATGATTGGTTCCGAGATGCCCGAATTGTCAGATCAAAGATTAAAATAGAACGAACAGACAGACGGACGGACATACATTTCAATCATTATATAACCGAAAACTTCAAACGGGTGGTGGGGGTGTGAAAAGTTATTTGTTTCTTCAACTTCAATATGACAAGAAAAAGGTAATTAGAACGGACGGACAGACGGACGGAGGGACGGACAGACATCTCAATCATTATATAACCATCAACTTTTTCAAAAGGGGGCGCGGTTATTTATCACCTCAACTTCAATATGACAGAAAAAATGAATTAAAGCTTTTAAGTATTTTTTTTCCTTCTGAGTCATCATTTGCAAATTATTTTTATATGTGACGCGCCAAGCAAAAACCTCCCTTAACGAAGAATTTTGACATTTTCAGTTTTTTATTGATTCTTGTAGAGTTTTTCTTTCTCTTTCGTTTGATGTATAACATGACATATATTGCTGTGTATAAATGTATAAAATATCGCACGACAAAGACGGAATATTTACTTTGACGTACAGTGTACGCGTGCGTAACTTCATGAATTTTCATAACGTAAAATCGTAAAATGACGTGAAGCTATATACATGTAATGATTTGATGATATATATTTTCAAACATTTCATTTGATTCCCTTAAAAATATCAATAATTAAGATTTTTAATCGTCATGATAAAAAAAAACATTGTAAACTATATCTTTGAAAAATGAAAAGAAGGGGGGGGGAGGGGGTGCGCCGAAATGATTGACAAGGGAAAAAGAACAAAACGTCACTCAAATCAAAAATCTTCTCTTCCCCTAAAAGCTATTCCAATTTATGTCTTTTTAATGCAAGAAAATGGAAGACAACAGTAAAAGGAAATAAGCAAAATTTAGATGAAAAAAATCCGAAATTTAGATGAAAAAAATTCTATTGTGGTAGTACAAACTATATAGGCTCATCTTCCTAAACGAGCTTGGGCTAGCATATTAACCCTTAAGCTCATTTGGTAGAGCACTGGACTGGCAAGCCAGAGGTCTCGGGTTCAACCCCAATTAAGCAGAGGCACTTAATTGTCTCTTTTACACTATCAAAGCAGTTATCTTAAAAAAGTTCGAGACGGCCCCTACCACCCCTCCCCCGGGCATTAAAAGTCTACACAATACATAGTATATAAAAAGATTTTTTTGTCATAGTTTACGTTTTAAATACCTGAGTTTTTAAATAGTGCGATAGGGTTTTTTTTCATCTAAAGGATACCATATTTCATTTACCACGTCTACTATATGTATTTACATGTTTTAATTTCGAATCTTTTACGGGAAAAAGTATGCATCCCTGAAGACTTTTTGGCTTATTGATAAGATATTCCGTGTACAGGAATAAATTGTATTTGTCTCTTGTAGTAGAGTTCGATCCTTTTCTTCTTTAGATGTCGTTATGAAATCGGTCTTTAATTCACATGAGGAACTTGTAAGTTGTCAAACTTGTTACCAATCCTTTTGTATATCTCAATAAATGCGTGTTCAAATCCAAAAACAATTAAGATTAGGTGCATCAAATTCTAAAGTGTTAAATTAAAGTTTAAACCATTATTTCTTGTAAATCTTTAAACATTTGATTAATTTTTCATGGCCCTCGATTTCTTATTTTATATTTATGCTTAAATTATTGAAAAGAAATGTTTAGAATCATTTCGTAACTAAATGAGTTTGCATACTATTCAATCAAACAGAATGTAACACCTACCCCCATCCAATAAAAAATATGTATATTTTTGAAAATACGGTTTGAAAAACAAATTCTGCAATTTATATGCATTATGAGGATGACCATGAATTAATTCTGACCGATTTTTGTATACTAACCGAATAACAAACCACAATATCAGAATATACATTAATCCCACAAGTAACACACTCCACAACTTCATTTACATTCATTTCTAGACATGGGCTTTAAGGTCTATCCTAAACTTTACCGTTACCTTCCTGAGAAAGTACATGCACACATTATGATTTATTTTAATCATATCAAATATTAGTTGCTTTTTAGTATTGTTTAAAACATGCATGTTAAAAATTGCAACAGAAAGTAAGAGAATGGGTAACACATTCTTCATATTCTACCATTATCGTAAAAGGGGTGCTGTCTCTCGGCTATGGACATTCACGCTTAATAAATTACCTGAACTAATATTAGACAAGTTCTTTATTGACTTTGGCAACAACAAGGCGCACACATGTACAATCTTTTAAATTGTAACGATAAATCCTTTTTTCTTAAAACATAAAGCGTTTTGATAATTTTGCACAAAACTCCCCATATACGTATGTACATGTAAACTCGTACATGTAAGCATGTATGCATCGTCGGAAACCCACGGGTGATCTCGTCTTTACCAACGGGTGATCTCGTCTTTACTTATCACAAGACGAGATCACCCTTGGGTTTCCGACGGTGGCATGTATGTACAATGCGATTTTTGCAGGAAAAAAAAATATTGAAATTGTTTTGATTTGCTACATGTATTAAATCACGTGTAATTGGTAGCAAACTTTCATAAATTGAAATGCATAAACAGTTCAACAGAAGGAAACAAGATCATTATTTTCCAAGGTAGATGTGAAATCATAAAATGTTGGTAGTAAAATCTTTGTCGGGGAAATAATTATTACAGGTTTAATAAATCCTTAATATTGAAGGTTAAAATAAAATCATTAAAATGAAAATTTATAATTCTTAAATGTTTAATGTAAACTGTTATTCTGTTCTCAGTTCAAAGGGCTTAAAAAGCACCGGTGACTGCGTTACATTATGTTGTTTTCAGGAATCCAAAAAGTGAAAGTCACCTCTTCACCTTATTTTTTCTTCTTTGGTACAAAAATCATGTTAAAACATTG